AAAAATGAATTATCGATAATAAATGCCCGAAAAGTTCTATTTACTGAGCAGAATGCAATAAACTTAGATGCCAAAGTTGCCAGAAGGATTTATCCATCATTCCTTTCTGCTTTGCTTGAAAATATCAGACAAGAAGTCAGTGATGAACAGTGAGACTACAGCACCTTCAACAACAACGTAACCCTACTACTACAGTTACTACAGGTCAGCCTTCTGGCTCACAACCTGCTGCACAAACTTGGACCTCACCTATTCATATATCTTCGGCCAGCATTGATAAAATAATGTCAACAGTGTTAGTTAGTTTTCGTTCTCTGAAAATGACTTTTAAATTTCAATTAGAGATCAAATAACCAAATGAACTTGACTAATCTTGAAAGTTCGAATCTTCTTCGATTCAGATAGCTCATCCTTTAAATCTGTAGTCTTGAGCACAAACCGTTAGCGAGCTATGGTTACAATCAAACGTAATGGATAAAAAACTTCCAGTAATTCAATGATTCCAGTCTTATCATAACTGCTTATCATCTATCTCAATAAATCTTATTTAATGCTTGAACCTCAAGATTGAATTTAAATATATGACAATTTGCTGGCACTCACTCATGCATAGTCTCAGGCTCCATTAGCAAATAAAATCCAAGGTGATTCACATAGAATTGAAACGGGTTCTGCATATTCGTCAAGATTTTCATCTATGAATGCTATAGATAGATAATAATCAATAAATGACTTTTTGATTGTAATGCAGAGCGAATTCACTTTTTTTACTTTGTTTGCAAACGAAATTCAGTTTACACTAAATGCTCATATATCGATTGAATTTCTGCTAATGTTTGGGAATTTTTATTCAGTCAATCGAAGAGGAAAAAAATCATTGATAGCATAATAAGCCAATAATAGAATCATCATACAAAAATATTAACTTTGAACCAGTCACAAAGATATTAACCCTTTCGTTGGAATAAACATTTTTCATTTTCCATTGGATTTTTGATGATTCAATGGATTTCTGTTATTGAACATATTAATTCATAAATTCAACCAATTCTATTAGCATGAAAATTGGTATAAACAGTTTATCCAAATTCACTGCAAGTTCACAGTTTCAGCTATTGGTTTCCAGTGGAACCTTGTTTTACATGAATTACTTTTGTTGATTTATTTTCATTCCCTGCAAAACTCCCTGTTACTCTGGTCGAAGTACATCATTAGTTGAAGAAAAAGTCTTTTCACTCAAATTGATTCATATTGATATTTGAATGATCAAATTTTCTTAATGATGTTCTTATTTATTGATGATAATTGTTTTCCTTACAAGGTTAATTGTTTGAATTGAAATCTTGATGGTTGCTTCAGCTAATGGCCTCTTCAGATGCTACCTTTGCACACACAAATACCTTCAACTCTCACGAGTAAACAGAGAAAAAAATGTTGCAAAAAAAGAGGTGAATCCGTTTAATACCAGCAATGAGTTTTAACATCACCTTTGATAACTTTTGAGCAAATACAATCTGTCATCAACAATTTTACCATGTTGATGATTCACCTTTATGGTTTATCTTTGTTCAATCCAATTAACCTTTTCCATCAGCATAAATAAAAGATGAACAAGAAAAGAGTGTGGAGCAAGGTTAACCATATCAAGATGCAGCACAAGATGAAGAAAAGAGAATTTCATTGAAGCCAATAAAATCGGAAATAAGCTACATGTTGGTGCAAGAAAGAAAAGAGAAAAAAAGAAAAAAAGAAAAATTTCTGTAAACATGAACAAATCATGTCGTGAAAATTATTGATGACTTTAACAGAATGGAGAAAAAAAACTATTCTGTTCAACATGTTTTCCCTGCATTTCTCAACAATAAGAGTAATTCAACTAGAAATAGCTTTATTCATTCAATGGTCATCAAATCATGATTTAATCTGAAAACTTTTTTTCTTCTCTTCTCATTCTAATTGACAATTCCAAAGCAACTTAAAGTCTTATTTTATATTTGATGGAAATTTCAGTTACGAAATTCAACAGATAATGAATATTTTGGATAATCTTTGAAACTGAAGAAAATCTGATCGAGAAAATTTAATCATAGATTCGCAGCTTTTCGAGACTTTGTTTCATTTTTTGATTCCAATGTTTTATTTTGTAATAAAAGTCATTCCCTTGCTTTCATTTCATTCCGAGTATAATTTTATTAATGATATTGATCCATTGAGAGTCATTTATTAATAACGTCGAGTGTTGCCTATCGAAACGGTTATTGATGATTTTTATTGTTCGATCTGTAAATTCGATAAAAAACGTTTTCTTTTCCCTGTCATATTCTTGTAATAAAATGAACTTCTTTTTGCAATTTCTTTTCTCATCATGTTAATTAATGGAATAATTATTGCATAACTTTAGGCAGTTATTCAGATTATGAGGTATAATTATCTAAGAACTGCCAGAGTTCAATCAGTGTGTTTTTCATGATGAGTTTTGTGCTGTTTTGTGAAATGACAAAAAGTGTAAGTCAAGTAGCAAAGTTGCAATTATTCATGTTATTATGTGCAACTTTATTCCATTGTGATAAGGTTTACTTGTAATTTTTGCCTTCCCTGGTTCAACAAATTACTCGAGCAAAAGTGTACATTGAAACATGTTTAACAACTGCAAGTTTGGTTTCACATTTTGATAGAAACTAGGTTTAGGGAAAGGATCGTTAATATTGCTTCTAGATTATGTGATGAAAATTCCATTAATCTTTTTATTTGGATTCTGTTGGATTATTAACAATCTGTAGCAACAGATTAAGAGGATTAAACATGGATCCTAAATGTTTCTTTCACAAAGTCACTAACTTCAAGTCTAAATTGGAGTTATTAACTTCATCTTGATATTAATGTTTAATCTTTTATCCAACTTGCAAAACTCTAATTGCAAAGATTTTATGTCAATATGCGAAATGTTGACAAACAAATTCGATGAGTAAACTTGAAACTCGTTCTATAAGGATGAACATTATTGGTTTGATCACCAAATTTACTAGACACAGATAATGAATTTATTGACTTCCCTGGTTAGCTCTAGTTCAGCACATCTAATTTGTAGAAGAAAGGATCCAAAAATTAAGAGACTTGATGAAAACTTACGACTCAATAAGAATGCGGTTCAACTCGATGAGTTTCTAAAAATTTCTTATTGGCCTGGAAAAAAATCCTTGGATTGGATCGTAAAACTTGCATAATAACGCATGCGATAACAAAAAAAGGATTTTTCATAATTCTAACCTCTACTAGACATCGTTATGAATTGATGAAATGACTTTATTGATGCATTCAAAGAAAAAATATTAACATTTGCAGATTCCAAACTGAACCATGGTTATAGCAATTGATATACGAGTGTGGACTTCAATAATGAAAGCAATATTAAACAATGAATGTCTAAATGATAGAAACAATCCAGCAAATCAGGCTAATGAAACATGAATGAAAATATTGTTAAAACTGTAATATCTTGCTTTGAACAGCATTGTAACAGATCACTTGAAGGCAACGAATCTTATTTGATAAACTTTCCTTTGCTTTTATCGAGACATGTATTTCGCTCTGATTCAATAGACTGAGATTTACTGTTATTATGAATCGATCACTGATTGATTCAACTTGCTAAATCAATTAAGTTGAATTTTCAAGAAACTAAAGAAAACTTTCTTTCCATCATTAAGGTTCTGATTCATCTTTTCAGTAACTATTTTAAGAGATTCAAAATTTCTATTAAAATGTCAAATTTCCAACTTATTGCATCGATTTAGTCACTATTGATCTTTAATCACAAATAGTCATGCAATGTCTAACAGATGCAAACGTTTCAGCAAGTAACTTATCAAAACGACGAAATATCTAATAAGTTTACTGAACCAACTGATAATTCATCACACTAATTGTCCTTACAAACTTTTCTTGAAACGAAATCAAACTGCAAGGAAATAGTGAAAATGTTCAGAAAACCATTAAGATCATTAAAAAAAGTTTTGTTTGACAAAAGATGAGGCAATGACAATAGAAAAGCAGTTTTCTATGGATTTCGAGTAAAATCATTTTTCTTTACGATTTTAATGTTGAGTTAGAATTTCGAAATTCGCCGTAAGTTGCATGATGTAATAGTTTTTTACGTAACATAGCTAATGAATGAAACTAATAAAAAGAAAAGAACACAAAAAGACACGAATTTCTGGATTTTCAAAGAAAGAATCACTTTTGAAAATATTGACCAATGATGTGCAGAACCCAAATTTCATTCAGGACAATATTCATCATTGACTTTATACATTGAATATGAAGAGATGAAAATAAATGAAAATTTCCATCAAATTTTTGACCTTCATTCTTGGATCATTGATGAAAGGAATGAAAAATTTTCTTTAAACATTTACAATATTTACTTGATAATCACAACCTTTTCATGTTCAGTGAACAAAAAACGAAACGATTATCATTGAATCTCCAAGTAACTTTTATCTCATCTTTCTTTATCATTCAATTTTCACTGATGGAACAATCATGAATGATTCTCGAATGCAAGTTAAGCAAAGAAGAAAATGATAAAGCATTTTTGTCTCTGTTCATTCCAAGTTCATGGTTCATTGAAACAACAATAACATTGAACATTACGAGCTATCAGTCTTTGCCTGCATTTTTACATGTAATCATGAGGCAAAGATAATCTGATGATAACATGCAATATTCACTTCGAGAGAGAGAGAGAGAACGAAGAAAAGACAGCAAATAAAATAATAACCATGAGCAACATGAATTGACACATTTCTCTGAATAAATTATCCAGCATCATGTTCGCTTCTATCAAGAGATGAAAATGTAAATATTGAAAAGAACGAGTAACGCAAAAAGAAGAAGAAAGAAAAAAGAAGAAAAAGTTGAAAACTTTTGAAATAAAATCTAATGCATTCTCTTTTCTTTTCTCAACTAATGTTGTGCTCTGTCTCCTGGAAACACAACAGTCTGGCTTCAGCAGACATAACCGTTGCCATTCTTGTGATGCCATTTCTGTTGGTTTATGATTACCTACGATTCTGGCCATTCCGATCGATTCCGTGTCATTTTTGGATCTCCTGTGATGTAATGTGTTGTACATCTTCAATCCTTCATTTATGTGCCATTGCACTAGACAGGTAACACAAAAATCCCAATAATCCAAGCAAACACAAAATTCATCTTCTTTTGCATTTCCCTTCATTTCACTTGTTCACCTCCAAGTGAACAGTCAAAACAATATTGTCATGATTCATGAACTTTTCTAACCAGACAACTTTAAAAGCAAGATCCAGACGATAACAATAACTGGAATAAAGAAGAAGTGAAAAAACTTTCGTCAAAAGGAAATGTTGAGAAAAGTAAATGAAAAAATTAATCTTGACTGAAGTCAAAAGTCAGGAATTGAAACTGAATGCTGCAAAGGGAATATTAAGTTCCGAGAAACTGGAGTAAAATTAAGGGTTGACATAAAGTGAGGTTAACTTTAGTCGAGGTGTTTCATGATCCCTGTATTATCGACATTCAATTTCTCGTGGAGTTAATCCTGTTCTTGAAGTGCAAATATATAAGTATGATATGCATATAAGTCGAGGAATACGATAATGAAAAGAGAAAAGCGAAGAGAAGAAAATGCTTGCAACTAATCTGATTACTTTCACTGTTTCATCCAATTCCATGGGGCAACACAATTTTCCATCCGAGCTTATTTATCTTCCTTTTCCAGTTCGGATTCTCTGATTGTTACATGTTCTATTCTTGTTATTGCTCTTGTTATTTAGTTGTTATTCTCATCTTTAGCTTCTTTTCTTTTTTTGTTTCATCATTTACCTGTTGGGGCTTTTATTGTTACTCTTTACTCTGTACTATTTTCTGTCAATGATAGCCTGATGTGTAGAGGAAAAACACAGAAACATTGAACTTGGAATAATGTGACTTGCCTTTTTTCTGCTTCTTCTTGTTCTACCCAATCAATTGCATCTCTCATTAAGCTCACCCTTGAATTGCAGTTTCGAGCCAATTTCATGATATTTTGTTACTTTCGATAAACTTTGAATGTAACCAAAGAATGCAAATAATGGAAACGTGAAATTTTGCTTCATTAACTGTCATTGAATCTTGATAATTATTGCTGATGAAAAGACATTTCCAATTACCATAATGGTCAGTTGAGATTCCCAGTTGTGGTTGATCTTTAAGGTAATTCAATAGTTGAGGTAATTTGATAAGCAACTCGATAACATCTTAAATTCATTTGGAAATTCATTTTCTCCACAAAAAAAGAGAGAACTTTGGTCAAGTTCACAATAAAAGACTTCAACAGGAAATCAACTTTGAAAGGAATAACTATTTTTATCATCAAAAGCATGCAACAAATTGTTGGAATAAATCGCCAGAATATCAACAGAATTTTTCATTTCAGAATTTATTCGTTCATTGTCATTTGATAAGGTCAACTCCGGATTTAACCAAAGATTAATGTTAATTCTTTGAACTTTGAAGCATTTTATTACTTTTCTCACATTTTCATTTCTCTGAATTATTCAATATTTATCTCATTCTTTAACTTTTATTTGTAAATATCTGTTGACAGTTAAATTGAATCAATGTTAGTTTGAGAAAGAATAAAAAATTGTTTCAAATTCTTTTTTCGTTTTACTTCATAACAATTTGTCAGAAGAAGAAAATGAAACAAATTTCAACTCTTTTCTCACCATTCTAATCTGATCAATCATGAACACGTTTCATTCCCAGGTTTTATTAGAAAATCGTTCTAAAATAAGCGTCGAAACTCAAATTATCAATCATTATAGTAGATTAAAGAGCCACATGAAAGGTTCATTTCTATTTATTGAAGAGAAAATTTGCTCAACACAAGTCATGATGTGTTGAAATGGTTCATTGTTGAAGTTCATTTAAGTGGAATGAACAGAAGATGCAAAAAGAAAACCTTTTTTCTCTCTTTTTCCTTTCATGTTTCAATAACCTCAAAAGTCAAACTTTAAATTGAACCAATTTACTGTTGATAAAACAATGAGCATGAAATGAGCACAATTTTCATGATAAAGTTATTACTTCAAGTTTCAATTTAGAAACATTATAAATAACTTCATCTTTCTTCATGAACGAAAATCAAAGTTATCTAAACACTTGAAAATTGATTATCTTGTTAAATATTAATATTAATAGCATTTATGAGGAAATAACCTTTTTATATAAAATCATTTTCTTTCACCATTCTTATTACATGGAAAGTTATTCACAAATTGAAAGTCAAATGCTGTTTAATGGATCAACAGTGAACAAAGTGAAACAAACATTTTTCAACAATATTACTCTTCGTTAAGATGTCAAGTATCATTAGAACGATTCAAGTCGAATTATTCAAATAATTGAAATTTGATGAATAGCAATGATTCAAGTGGCTTTATTCAGTTGGATAAACTCTTAATTCCAATGAATTAACCTTTTTCTTCCTCTTTTTTACTGCTTATAACTCATTAACCCAGAACTTGAAACCAATAATTAGAGTTTTTTGAACGAGAAAAAAACGATTCCTTCTGTTTGGTTTGACAATTATGAGCTTAGTTTTGCATGGTAAGAAGTTTCAAGTGATTTATTTAGTGTCGATTCAGTTGTGCTCATCAAAGTCATTTTTATTAGTTTGAGTGTTCGTTTGCTGAGACATGTTTTGTCCTTTTATTGAATTTTTCAACGAGTTTAGGGAAACGATTAAAATGTTCAATTTATCCTCATTTGTTTGTTATGGTAATTGATTAACTGTTCAATGTAAAAACCATTATCAAATAAGTTGCAATTAATTATTTTTTGGCAAACATTTGGTTTCTAACCGAATTTGTGTTTGCTCTTTTTGTTCGTTTTTTTTTCGTGCACCATTTTATTTGGCTGAGCATTTTAATAAAGATTAATTGCAGAATCGAGATTCAGAATCAATCTTGAACATTATGAGCTGTAAACTTGCTGAAATCAAATGCAATCAGTGAATGAAGGAAACTTTGCTTCAATCAGATTATACTCGATTGAAAGAAGCTTATTCAGGGAAAATATTACTAGACACTGCGACTTTCAATTCATTTAGATGAGTCTTTTTAGGTGAAATAATAAGCATTTGAATGGATGCAACTTTACTCATTTGTTCAAAGAATATACAATTAGATGGAAAGAATCACTTCGGGTCTTGTAAGTTTCTATTAAAATTCAATTTATTATTAATATAAATTATTAAAATACATTCCACTTTGAGTGCATTCAAATGCAGAAGATTAAATTAGCATGTAATTCATTTGCAGAATTTTGCTTTTCATTGAAACTATTGTATCATTAAAATCTAGACGCTTTCCTTTTCGTTTCGACTGATCCGAAACATTACAATTGCTGTATTAATGCATAAAGTGTGCCACAAATATTATCCAATTTAAGGTTCTAATTATAAGCAAATGAGAAAAATTGAAAGGAACTTTACAATTGACTTTAATTGTTTCGTAAAAACCAACAATTTTCCTTTTCGAATAACTTTTGAATGCAGAAAGAATAATAGCTAAAAGCTATCGTTGAGATGGAGTTGAAAGATGATGAGCATTGTTTCAAGAGCTTATTGCCTTTCGACTGAAGTACAGATGAACTTATTAGTAAATATTAAAGTAAAGATGGAACTGACATTAAATAGACTATTCTTAAAGATCAAAAGATCAAATTCAATGTCAAAGGTGCAAAGATATAAAGCATTAATGTTGCACGAGAAAACTTTAATGATGTTTGGATCATTCAATTTGATGTCTAACAAAACAAGACTTGAAAATATATAAATAGTTGCATATTCCTAGACAGTCTGGAACAATCTTGACTCGATAGACTCATTCTTACTTCATAAGAGTCAACAAGAGAAAGATTTTCCTTTGCTAATTCCATTCATGGTTCGAGTATTATGTGGTTTATGCTGCAAGAATCATGAACATAATTTTCACTGCTACTAACACGGTACTTACTCTCTTAAAATGATCTCGATTGGGCTGAGAGCTAACGAGTTGTATCAGCGAAACTGACATTGAAAAAAGTTATCTATTAGCTTGAATCGCACACTCCTTGCATTTAACCAACAGAGCAATGTGTAAGCTCGATGAACTCATATTAAGTACATAGCATATCCAATTTCCCTTAGTATTTAATGACAAATTACAGTCTTGATAGACTACTAACCTTATTGATAGACTGCTTCAGTAGATGAATTTCACTCCTGCAAATGCTGAACACAAAATCAAATATCACCTGGATTATTGCTAAATCTTGCAATAAAAGTTAAGTTTCTCTTGTTACTAATAACTGACTCTAACCATCATCGATTAACTCAATGTTAACAAGCAAATTGATATACCGACTGAATCATTCCAGAGCAACATCTACGTTTCAGAATGCAAATCAGTGTAAATCAATTTTAATTCAATCCAAGTTTAAGTTTTTCTTCATCAGTAATCTGAATCATTCAACTCTGATTATCTCTCATTAATTGAATGCAATGCTTAATTAAACATTTTGCAAAGTTAATTTTGTTTGCTTTTGCACAAAAAATTAGATTCAAATCAGATTCAAAGTAAAACTCGATTTTATTATTGAGTTTGAAGTGAGATAATCATTGAGCACAACTAATGACATCTCGACTGTCAAGTCAACATTGCAAATCAACGATTTTGGTTGACAAAAAATCAGTCAGAATAATAAAGTGTTGAAGGGTTGAAATGAAAAAAAGTATAAAGACAACTAAAATAGAAACAAAAGATTGAATTAGAATTGAATCAAAACAATCTTCTTTTTCTCAACTTTCCACTCATTACCATGAAACCAGTCAAATTAATTAGGTAAGGCAAACTATCATTTGAATTCCCTGTCAACACAATTTTTTCTCTCTTTACTTTTTTCCTTCCAACTTGTTCCCTTTCATTCAGTAATACTTATTTCATGTTGCTTTGCTTTTCACATTTTCACATTCAGATTCAGCCTTTGGATAACCTCAGAGCATTTCATTGTTGAACAAATTTTTTCAAATAAATTCATCTAATCTATCTTGATAACAATAGTGGAAAAGGAAAGATTAATGAACATCTTACCAGAATAAGTTGTTTGT